CCCGTGAAGTGGAGGCGGCTGTCAGTCTCCATGAGCACGTCCAGCCGTAAGGTCAGGATGTCCTTCGGGAAGAAGGTGGGGTAGGCACGGGTCAGGGTGGCTGTGCAGCCTGCCTCTGAGGGCTGCAGGCCCCCCAGCCTGTAGCTCGGGTAGCTGGGCGGGAAGAAGCACCAGGGCTGCCCCAGGCGGAGGAGCCGTGAACCCCGCCTCGCAGGGGCGTAGCAGCAACCACGGGCCTCGCACTGCTCCTGGGTGAGGGTCTTGTCCGGGGCACAGTCGAAGCGGCTTTTGGGGGCCACATCGCACTGGGTGGGCGCTGCTCTGGGGCGGCCGGGGTGCTCCTGGGTGGGCCAGTGTCCTGGCCGGCCGGCTTTGTGGGCCTCCTCCAGCTCCCGGGGGAACACCCAGAAGTCCTGGAGCAGGATGTACCCGAGGAGGGCAGCTGTGGCCAGGGAGACAAGGGCGCAGGCCCACAGCAGGGGCCGGGGGCCGAGCAGCCACCTGGCTCCCATGGCCGGCAGTGAGGGTGGCTCCTGGAGGCCTGTGGAGAAGAGGAGGCAGGCTGGGTGTGGCAGTGAGTGGCCTCGGTGTGTCCGAGTGGCTTCCAGGCGTCAGCAGAGGCTGGCCCCACTGTGCCTGGGGTGGAGCGAGGCGGGCCAGCAGAGCCTCCCTCCCGGAATGCAGCTGGGGATGCCGGGACCGGGAACGACAGGCAGGCCTGGACAGGCTGCAGCGCGGCTCAGACCCACAGCAGGGGAGGCAGAGGGAAGAGAGCCAGTCCCCACAGGGACGGTGGGACAGGCACCCGTGGGGCAGGGCATCTGACGAGGCAGAGGACGTGCATGTGAGACGGGCAGGCCAGCACGGTGGCCACCCCAGAGAAGCGGAGCCACAACACAGGTGGACGCAGCCACTTCCCTGCCAAAGCTGAGGCCCAGATGAGGTTTTGGCCGAATCGAGTCAGCAGAAGCGATGTAACCCTCAGCGTGCCCTGGACCTGCCCCCTTCCCTCAGTGCCCTGGCTGCACAAGAAACACGGATACCAGTGAGAAACCTCGGGCCCTGCCTTCCCGGGCAGCACTCCAGGGATGGCAAGGCCACCAGAGGCCCTGACCCCGAGACCTGGCAGGTCAGAGCACCTCCTGCCAGCCTCTCCCCACAGGATCACAGCGCCGAGGGTCATAGGGAGCCCCCTGCTGTTTGGGAGGCCAGAAGCGAAGCCAGGAGAGGGCTGGCAGGTGGCACGATGGTCAATGTGCTGAACTCCCACATGGCCGGCTGTGCTTCAAGTTCTGAACCTGGTGGCTTGCGTTCTCAGTTCCTCTTGTCAAATTGAAGAATAATAATAAATTAAATTAAATAATCATAAAAAGGGGGAAGCCAGGAAGGCAAGCTCCAATAAAGCCCAAGTGTCTTAGCAGCAAGGCCGTGGGGGTCCCCAAGGACATGGAGCCAAAGTTGGCCTCAGAGAGGCGGGGGTTCCCTGGAAGAACCCCAGAGCAGCTGCGACCGCCAGGCCTGGGACCCTTGGCAAGTGAAGCTCCCCGCAGCAGGAGGCACAAGCCAGGTCCACACGCACACAGCTCTGGAGAGGCCACAGCCAGGCAGGGCTCTGGGGAGCCATCAGTCTTGAGGGGCGGCTGGGCACACTGCAACCAGAGCAGATGCTGCTGCCCACGGCCACCGGCCAACTGGGGCTCTGGGCCTGAGGGACCTGTGTTACCCACAGCGCTCCGACACGCGGGTGCGCTTTTCCTTCACCCCGGAGCGCCCCCTACTCTGCAGACACCTGCGGGACCGCACTCCCGAGCTGGGGCAGACCCCGCCTGGGGTCCCGCCACACTAACCCTCCCACTTCAGATGCCAGGCCCGCACCAGAACTTCCCGGGTGCCAGGCGGCTCGGGGACAGGACTGGGGGAGCACGGGTGCACGCGCAGGGCCAGGAGGGACCGGGCAGCCCGCCCAGCCCGCCGGGAGCGCCCCGCGGCTCTAGTTGTGACACCGCAGAGGAACGGGAGGAAGGGCAGGAGCCCACGCACGGGGCAGCCCACTCCTGGGATGTCACCACGGCAGCCGACGTGCACGCCGTGCGGGTTTCCCCCAAGAACCGGCATGCCCACAACCTTCCTCACTGGGCGCTGGGGAGGATCGAGAATCCAGAAGTTTCTGGGCCCCTCGGTGTCACGTGGGTCACTATGCGCGCGGCTGCCTGAGCCCGTGGGACCCTCCCACCCGCGACCCGCGCTGTCCCAGCAAGGCTGCTCAGCGCTCCCGAGAGGAAGCCGCCCTCCTCGGGCAGCCCCT